CCTAGTGCATTGGCTGCCTCGATCACGCTCGACACGAATAGCAATCAGCAGAGCGCCCACGTCAGTTGTGCGGTAGTGTGTAGCCCACGCACCACTCGCAGAAGCGGAAGGCCACGCTGCAGAGACGTCGATCTGCGATGGCCATTGTCTGTGCCAGTCCGTGCCCTCTCCCCCGAGAGAACGCCGTCCGACGTCTGCGATCGAGCGCCAGGAGGCGAACGACCTGGGCTGGGGCAGGACGGACAGCCTCCAGTGCAGAAAACGTTGGCCCCCGCCACCCTGCTGAGAAACATGGCAACGTGCCCCTCGCCTCCACAAGCGGAATGGGATGTCGTTACAAGTATTCCAGATTTCGTAGTAAAAGGGAGGGGGTCTGGACCCTCCAAGACAAGCCATTTCAGACCTCCCCCGTGGGAGAACTCCCCAGACCCCCCAGGCCCTCCAAGATAGCCTGGAAGAGCCCCCCCCCCCGAAATGAGACCCCCCTCCCTTTATTACGAAATCTGGAGTACGTTCCCATAGACAAGTGCCCAATGGACAGTGCAGAAAGGTTAGCCTAAGGTTAGCCATTGGACTTGATGCCAGATCCAGCCGTAGGGGAAGGCAGGTTCTTGATCTGCTTTCGGACTTGCTGCCCTGGCCCCTGGAACGAGGCCATCGCTTGTTTTTAAGACTGGGCAAGTAGTGGCGCCGAGCAAGACCCTGCGGTAAGCATCGGATGCCTGCTGAGAGAGGTCGCACCTTTCTCCTGAGATTGCTCCACTAGCTCACGAAGGGCATCGTCAACAGAGCTATGGAAGGCGAGTTCAACTTCGAGTGGCTCGTGACCGTCAGGGTGAAGGTCCACCACACACCTTTCCGACGTGGGTTCTCAAGTTACCGTGTACTTAGTTGGGGCTTCCTCGAATCAGTCCTGATGTTATACTTTGACAGCCTAGGAATCCCCTGGAGTGCTACCACCCATGGTCTGGCGAGCCGATCTCCATCAGCACTGCGAAGACAAATCGCTGATATCATGCTACGACAGAGGCTCCTCATCATGCTGCTGCGGGTCGGTGCACGTATCTAGGAATGCCGTCCAAGCGGGCAGAGAACACGCACCACACGTTTCCACGAGACCGCAGGAGCCTGGGACAGATGCCAGACCAGTGGGACTTGCCGAGGCCGCTGGACCTTGTATGCATCAGAGACACCAGAAAGCCAAGGACAATGTGGAGCTCAACAGACAATGCCTCATATCCTACTCCTCGGTATTGTTTGGCCGCGCGCCGATACGGAAAGAGCAGCATCCAACGAATCTCCATGGGGACGGACCGCTCGGGGACTTGACGCCTTCTCCTAGACTTGTTAGGATGCTGCCGAGTGTGCTGGAGCTCATCCCTGGTCCACCGGACACCCCCTCCGTGCTTTCCCTGACATGTAGCTGAATTCTTGCTTGTGGGAGGAGTGGTAGAGGTACTGCAGGTTCATGCGACGATGGCGCGCCAGCAGGTTGATCTCCGCATGATCGAACGACACGGCAGCACTGAGGGGCTTTGCAACGCCACAAGGCCCGACGGAATTAAATTTTCAACCATCGGGGCCGCCGCGATAGTTTTAGGGTTGAACGAGCGATGTGGTGTCAAAACCTTTTGCGCGCGACGACGCCGCACGAGCCGACCGTAGCCATTTGCATACAGTCAAACACCATGACAAGGACACGCGCCTGTCCTGGGGTACCCTTGCGTCCTTGCGTTGTCTTTGCTGTGGGCCCAGGCGCCAAATCGGCAAGGACGGGGGACGGGCCGGAGTACGTTTTGCGTCCCAAGGGCGTTGGCCGCCCGCTGCCCAACACCTCCTGACTTCGGCCCCCAAGGGTCTTGCGTGCTTAGCGCCCGTCCTCACGAGACGTTTTGGCTGTAGCCAGTCCACCCCGATAGCCTCCGCTGCCATTCGGCCTCTGGGTGCTGGCATGGGCCGCCTGTCTTGAACGGCGCTCGGCTCGTGGGGAGGTCCGCGGGAGGACGCCCGCCCCCCGCCCCCCTCGTAGAGGGCGGCCTCTCGGCAGCCTGGCCGCCTCGGCCTGGCGCCCGCGGCGAAGTGCTGTGCTGAAGTCGGGCACGTCCCTCTGCCGGCGGACCATTCCCAAATAGTCAGAGCATAATCTGGGGATTTGACTATTTGGGATCAGGTTTTCAATATTTCTTCGCCCCAAAAAAATCCGCCCGCAGGAAGACATGCCCGCCCTGGTGCTGCGCTGAGATCGTCCGTGGCATCTCCTCGCAGGTGTTTTTGTTTCGCCCCCCTACCCCCGAGCTCCGCCCGAAAAGTCTGGCCGCTCAGAAAGTGGGGGGAGCTTTGGGGTGCACCCGCTAGGGGGCTACTCCGACGCACCCTTCTCGAGGATGGGCGCCCACCTATGTCTAAAAGCCAATGCTAAAAGCCAATGCTAAAAGCCAATGCTAAGAACAAATGCTAAAAGCCAATGCTAAAATCCAATGCTAAAGTCCAATGCTAAAATCCAATGCTAAAATTCAATGCTAAAATCCAATGCTAACGGCGCCGAACTCTTGCGCGCCGAAGCCCGCGGCGCCGAAGTCATGCGGAAACCGCGGCAAGGGGCTATGCTAAACGGAAGACCCCACGAAGTCGTGGATTGGGGTCGACATTTCCCCTGCTACCTCCTCTCCGCTTTTGGAGGTGAGGCCGTCTGGGTGTTCGCAACGGCTTGGCAAGAGCGCGGGTCTCCTCGGATATCTGCAGCACGGTGGAGGCGTTCGTTGCGGAATCTGCCCAGGAGGCTTCAGACCTTGAAGGATTGCTTATTTGATGAGGGTGGCGGTGAATCACCGCCGCCCTCATTGGACAAGGGATTCTCCTGAATGTCATGGATATCATTGCCAGTGATATCCGTGGCCAATCCACGGTTGGAATTGTGGCGACCTTTGAACCAGTCCAGCGCAACGTTTTTCGGGTACCTCGTTCAGAGTGCGAATGAAGGATCCCCACTCAGCATTAGGTGTCTGCTCGTCCTGTTTATGTCGATGCCATTTCTCATGTTCTGCACGCATATTGGCTTCAAGCTTCTAGCTCATAAGGAAACTCTGCGCGACGAGCACCCGTTCGAAGACTATTCATAGGAGTTTCTTTTTCCAGCGAAAATGCCGGAGGACGAAGCCAGCCTGCAGATCATGATGGAGTCCCGTGGCCTCGGAGCCAGTGGCATCTTCGATTGCATATGTGAGAACAACGGGCTAGATGGGGTAGTCATGATAGTCAGCGTGCTTGGCAAGCTGCAGTTTCCGAGCAAGCGTGCGAAACAATCCAGCCGAGATAACCATGTATTATGTGGGGCCGCCGAATACCTTTGCTTGACAGGGTTAGCCATGGAACCGATCCGATCGTCCTGAAAGCGGGCACAGCCCTAACTGCCGCGTAGTCTCTGAAGCCCGAAACTGGAATTGTGGTCCATGGTACGGATGGGAAACATAGAGACATGAGCAGCAAATGTATGGACCGAGCGCAGTTGACAATATTGTAACATGTGGTTGAGTACCCTGGGAACTCTGAGCTACGTGTGAGATGGGGCGGGAAATAGACAGTGGCGACCGCACTATCGAATTGGCTGCAGCGGGTTCTGAGGCGACTCCGCGTGCAGCGATGTGGGGTGCGTCAGTCCATGTGGGCGTCACGGTGCCACGGGGAAGTCGCGGGCCGATGGCGATCGCGCAGCCCGAGTTCTTGTTGCTACTTGGTGCCCTCGCTTACCCTGCGTCAACTGCCCAATGTCGGCCTGCTCTCATCCAGGCAATGCCATCCTTCCCGCAGTTGCGATCCCCCGTCCTTGACACCACACACATATATTCGAAGTTTGATGTGACTGCTCTGATATTATGTAATATGCTATGTGGGCTGGTCGATAACGGATGGCACCGCAGGGTGGAGATGACAATCGCTGTTTTTTGTGAAGGTAGCGCTGGTGGCCAGCGCTGATCACGTTGCAACTACACCCAAGAAGAGGCATCAGTGGGATATCGTGGGAACTGTGACATTTTGAGGTCAGCGCCAACAAAAGAGGGAATGTGGGTTGGGGGCGGACTGGGCGACTGCGTTATCGCGCGGGGCGGGCCCTCAGCTTGGGCCAGGGCGCTTGAAGGAAGGAGAAGGGGGAGGAGGAGGAGGAGGAGGAGGAGGAGGAGGAGGAGGAGGAGAAGGAAGAGGAGGAGGAGGAGGAGGAGGGCCAGGGAGGATAATGAGGAGGATCAGGCGTAGGAGAAAGATGAGAGAAAGGACATGAGTGCTGATTTCCCTTGCTTTCGGTGGACCCCCTTCTCGGACGTCTGCAGATACATCATGTTAGGTGCCTGGCCTCTCGTGTTGATGGCCCGCATTGTTTGCGCAGCCATCATCGTGCTTAGCCATGACCATGTTCGCCTTCACCGTAGGCGATGCTGTGCTCCAGTGTCTGCAGTCGGCTGTTGGTTATATCTGCACCGAGTTGCGTCGCCCATGCATGCCAACACGAATGTATTGTACTACCATTTGTCAGTGGTCTCTCTCTCTCTCTTTCTGGTCTCTCTCTCTCTTTCTCTCTCTCTAACCTTCTCCCGCCCTCCCATAACCGTAGCCCCGAGTTCGGGTTGCCGTGTCAATCCCCGTGGCTTCTCCCCCTAAAGTTTGAAGTGTGCCTCATTTTGGAGCTCACTCCGAATCGCCGACTTAACATGGCACCCGGCTTCTCATGCCCCAGCATGACACCATTTTTGCGTTTGCTTTGCGTGTTGTCCCCCCGTTTCCCAGCACAGGCAATTCCTCTTGATACCCACTCGTGACGCTGCGACGCTGTTCATTGCCGCCTTGCGTCCTCATCTGCCTTCCCCATTTACATGTCTTTCCCACTGTAGCCCTCCCCTCCCCTCCCTCCACCTCTTAAGCGGCCCTCCACGGCTGATGACCCGATCGCGGCTCTGCCGGCACAGAGTTTTGTGAACAGTCTTGCGTGTCGGCCGCACCCTATTTAGGCTCTCCACCCGGGTCGAGATCATCACGACGTTGGTGATCTCCGCATCCGCGTGGACACTGCAGCTCTGGTCTTTAGTGAGGACCCTCTGCAGCGGTTATCTTCCGGGCTTCGGAAGCATGCGTTTGTGAATGTTGTATGCTTCTACGCGTGTGCACGCCACGTGTTCGAAGTGCCATTCGAGCTGGGCAGGCTCAATCCCCCCTTCAGTCGTTTGCTGATCAGTCTAGGCACGCCTGGCGACCACACCAAGACCATACGCTTGTGATCAGAAGTGTAGCTACCGGTGGTGCGACAGCGGCGTTCTGCCTGACGAGATCAGCACGGATGGCTGAGCAGTTGTTCCCAATCCCCCATGAGCTCGTCATTGCAGTATTCAAGTGCTTTCAATGGCTCAGAGGAGGAAGAGGTACCCATACCTCTACCCTCCCCTCGTTTTCCTCTTTTTGGGCCTCCTGGGCCTCTGTCGTCGCCACCGCTGGATTCGCCTCGGAGTCCTTGTCAGAACGCACCCCAGGAGAGGCGGTATCGGTACCTTTTGGTCTCCCCAAGGGCATGCCTGCAATGTGCAGTGGCAAGCGTGTGCTGCCGGGCTCAAGAGACGGGGGTCAACGCCAATGGGGGTCAGCCAGAGCGCCAGGTGTTGCAGGATCCTGCAGCGCCAGGGGTGCATTGACCCAGGCTTGGATGCAGGATGTTGCAGGAATTTGGTTGCAGGATTCCGCACAGCCTGACTGACCCGGATTTGCATTGACCCGGGTCAGTGCGTCCCCGATGCTGCTTTAAAGTCGGGCCTGTCCCTCTACGGGAGGAATCTTCGAAAATACTCAAAAAATAGCCTGGGGACGATTTTCCGAGTATTTTTGGATTCGTTCGGGATATGTGTGTGTATATATATACTGGATTTGTTCTCGAGGCTCCGCCTGTAGGGGACACGCCCGACTCGATGCCACTGCTGTCAGGGAGGCAGAGCTGGGCCGGAGGTCGCAGAGGTCTCGCCTGACTTGGCAGGGAGGGAGCCACGGCGGGCCTCTCTCTCTTCGGAGCTCCGGCCCAGAGGTGCGGCGCTTCTCGGGGCCATCCGGGAGCGTCTCGGGGCTTTGTCTGGGGCCCCTCTGAAGTCGGGCTTGTCCCTCTACAGGAGGAATGTTCAAAAATAGTCAAAAAATAGTCTGGGGACGATGTGTAACATTGTTTTTTACTATTCTGGAGCATTCTTGGGGCCTTTGGGATGGTTCGTCCAACATCTTCCTGTAGGGTAACACAGCCGACTTAAGACCACACTTGGGCTCTTCTTGGGACGTCTGGAGCTTCGTCGGAACCCTGTCGGGGGGTCTTGGAGCTCACACGGAGTGCTCCGTTGCCCGTCTGAGCCCTCCTGGAGCCCTCTCGGGGCTTTCGTGGGTCCTCCTGGGGCCACCTTTGGCGCCTTTGGGCGCGTCTTGGAGCGCTCTTGGGCGCTTCTTAGGTCCTCGTCGGCGCTGTGGAGACCGAGGTGGGGAATATGCATCATTTACATTTGCCTCTTGGAGGTCTCTCAGGCCGTCTTGAGGCCCCATCTGGGCCGTTATGACGCCGAATTGAGGCCCCATAAGGCCGTTTCGAACATCGCTGTTGTGGATACGCGAGCACCCCCTTCTCTCGTTAACCAGCCCGTGCGCGTTCGCTTGACTGGACACAGGCCGCGCCGCAGCGCGCGTGGCCGCGACGCCATAGTTGCAAGCCCATAGTTGCAAGCATGATGATTGATTGTTACGTTTGATGTATGATAGGTTTTCTCGTTAATGTCTGCAGGGCTAGTTTGCGTGTTGTACTTGCCACCCGTCCAGCAGCCTTTTCGTCCAGACTCGATGGCTTACAGTATGAGCATCAAGCAAGAAATCAGCCTGCCTTTGAGTGCTCTACAAACATGTCGTATTTATTGATGGCCCAGGGACCAATTCTTATTGTGGGCTCCTTGCGATGTTCTGTCACGAGATGAAGCATGCCCATTATGCCTCACCCCTATCACGTGTTATCGTATGCGCCTTATGCTGGAAATTTGTCACCATATGTTTCATGTGTGTCATCCTGTTGTATTGCGTGTGTGGTAGGTCGTGTCGTGTTTCGTGTCCTACGTATGAGCATGCATAGAGGCGAGTCTGTGTCTGATGTCTTCCTACTGGGCCATGCGTCATCGCGCTAGCTCGCGTTACAACAGCTTTAAAGACACGCCGTGTGTACGCACGTGATTTTGTGATAACATGTCGGTATACATGATCAGCGTGCGCGATCGAGTGTCTTATATCTGGCACATTGGCTCCACATGGTGGGTGGTGGAGCGCGGATACGCTTGCAGCCGATTTCGAGCTACCGGTCGCGCATTCTCGTTATTGTCAACGGCACCGCAACGGGTACTTACCAACGGGTACTTTGCAATTTTGCCGAAAGTTGCCACTTTAGGGCCTCTTTCTGGCAATGCAGCGTTGCCCGCATCTGGAAGGGTTGGGTTCGCTGGGTCACTGGCCAACGTACCCGTTAGTGGAGTCCCCGTTTGAGGGGCGCTGATATTGGCTTGTCCTGCCGTGCGACACTCACCCAGCCCCTTCCCCATCAGCCTAGCCATCTCTCCTCCCACTGCTGCCCTTCCGCGGGCCCTCCCGCGGCCTGCGCCGCTGCCCGAGCGCGGTGGCCCGCGGCGGCGCTGCGGCGCGCGCGCGGGCGGGGCCGCGCGGTCGGGCCAGGCCCGCGCCGCCTCCTCGCTTCCCCTCGAGTCCTCGGCTCCTCGATCCCCCAGTGTCCCTCCGGGTCCTCCTGCGCGTGCCCCTCACTCCTTCCCTTCCTCCCCACTCCCCTCCGCCCCCGCCCCTCCCCCTCGCCTCTCTCCTCTTCCTGCGGCCGCAGGACGCTGCTCTTGGCCGCCCGGGTCGTGGTCGCGACCTACTTGTGCCGGTTCTCGGGAGCGCACCCACAGGAAGCACCCGAGGGAGGGTGGGGGGGGGGCGAGTGATCGGTGAAGAGGAGGAAGAGGAGAGAGGAGGAGGGAACGGAAGAGGAGGAGGAGGAGCAGAAGGAGGAGGAGGATGAGGAGGAGGTGGAGAGAGAAGGAGGAAGAGTTGAGGAAAGAGAGGAGGAGGAGGAGGGAGAGGGGGAGGGACTGCGTAGTTCCGAGGAGGAGGAGTAGGGAGGAGAGAGAGGGCGCTGAATGTTTCATTGTTTCGGGCTGAAGTTGGCAACAGTTCAGGCTGGGCTGCGGTGGAGCACGACAAGCGGTTGGAGGAGGAGGAGGAGGAGGAGGAGGAGGAGGAGGAGGAGGAGAAGGAGGAGAAGGAGCAACAGTAACAGCAGGAGAAAGAGGAAGGGGATAAGGGGAGGGCGCGGAGGAATACGCCTGGAGAAAATGGGCGAGGAGGAGGAGGAGGAGGAGGAGGAGGATCATGAGGAAGACTTCGAGGACGCTCTGCTGTGGAATGGGGAAGGGCGAGTTCGGATGATCGAAAATATTCGGTCAAGACCAGGTAGCAATCTCCAGTAAGAGGGATGAGGAAAAAAGGCGATACAGCGGCTCAGCGCGAGGACTTCTCGGAAGCCTGGCAGGGAAAGGCAGGCATGAGACACCTTGAAGGCGGAGTCGCTTCAGGGCCCTACGGGCTCCTTCTAGGTTCACTGTCTTATCAGCCCTGCGGCTTTCTCCTTTGCTCCGCGGCCGCTCTCCCAGCTGGGTTGGCTTTGCACGCTTTTCCCAGCTGTGTCGCTGGCCTTCGGCTCATAGCACCGTCTGGCCACCCCAGAGAAACAAACGATGACTGACATCATCCATTAAGGATCGGTGCGCAAAGTCGCCCGTCGCCGCTGACAAGAAATTATTGAATCGCTTCGCTCATTCCGCCGGCCCGTGATATGGCATCGCTGGCTTTTGTCTGTGTGGTCGTTGCCCATGTTGCGCTCTTGGGGGCGGGTGTCGTTCGGACGCGTTGCGTGGGGAGTTTTGATGGTGAAGCAGTTCCCTGGGGGTCGTCTCTCGATGGGGCGAAATAGAGTCGTCGTCAAGATGCTTCTTTGGGGGGCCTCTTGGGGTCTGTTGAGAGGCCGTTCGGGGGCGCCTGGGAGACATGTTTGAAGCCTTCTGGGGCTTCTTTTGGGCCTCCTGGGAGTCTCCTGGGGCCTCTTGGCGACATCTTGGGGCCTCTTGGAGGCCTCTTGGGGCCTCTTTGGGACCTCCTGGGCGCCTTCTGGGACGGAGGGCTCCATTTTTGAGTTCTCGGTATCCCTCCTGAGTCCCTCTTGGGCCCGTCTTGGGGCCTCTTGGTCCGTCTTGGGCGGCACTTGGGCCGTCTTGAGGGCTCTCTTGGGTCGTTTCGGCGCCGTCTTGGGAGCTTCGTGGGCCGTCTTGGAGCGGTCTTGGGGGCCTCTTGGGCCGTCTTGGAGCGTCCGGAAGCCGAAAAAGCCAGAACACAAAAAACATCGAAAAAACAATGAAAATCAACGATTTTGGCCTCTTGGGGCTCTCTTCGGAGGCCTCTTGGAAGGCTCTTGGGGCGTCTTGGAGGCCTCTTGGGCTGTCTTGGGGGCCTTTTGGGCCGTCTTGGGGTCATCTTCGGCGTCTTCGAGCGCTCTTTGGGCGTCTCGGGGGCCTCTTGGGCAGTCTTGGGGGCCTCTTGGGGCACTCTGAGCGCGCTCTGGGGAGCCTGAGAGGCCGCACCCAGAAGGAAAACCATCTCTGAGTAGACTTGGTCGGGCGGCGGTCGGGCGGCGACCGGGCGTTGGTCGGGGTACTTTTCGCCGGGGGACCCCCAGGGGCCGCCCCGCGCGCGCGAACTAGAAATACTGTTAATACTGTTAACCAGTTACCGGAGATCTTAGCACGCCCTGGCCCGTTGGGCCGGCGAATTCTCCGCCCTTTACGCCTTTTCCCCCCCAAGCTTGGGTGGCTCGACGACAGCAGCGCATCCGCTCACGTAAGATTGCGGCAGGGGAATTGTAAAGTCGGCTTTCCGGCAGCGCGCTCTCAGGTGGTCAAGAGGATGAGGATTCGGAGCCTTCACCAGCAACCTTTTCCTCCCCCCTCATCCCTCCACCCCCTCCTCCGTCTTCTGCTCCTCCTACTCCTCCCTCTCATCCCCTCCTCCTCCCCCTCCTCCTCCTCCTCCTTCTGACCCCTTCCTTCTCCTCCTCCTCCTCGTCCTTCTCCTCCTCCTCCTCCTCGTCCTCGTCCTCGCCAGCCAGGCCAGCTGCGACCCCTCAGTCTCAAGAACTGCGATGCTAAGGCCATGGCTACATGTATTAATCGCAGGCTTAAGCAGATCGCTGAGCAACACACACACACACCGTGTAGCAAAGCTTTGTGAACGGCAGAAACTTTGCCAGGCATATTGTTCGATAGGACTCCCTGTGTCACCTCGCCAGTCTCGGAGAGGATGTCGAACAGTGAATGCCAGTGTTTGTCAGCTTTGATGTCAACGCTGCGTTCCCGATTGTGAGTCAGATCTGGCTTCGAATGACGATCTTCTCCCAATCGTCGCGGCCGTTCGCGGCGAATGGTCGGCGCCGTGCTGGCGCACCCGCCACGCCATTGCGCAGCATTTTGCCTCCATGCAGCGGACGCGGGCCACGGTGCGCAGCGTTGCCCGTCCCCGCGCACGGGGTCTCGCGGCAGACCTTTGCCCCCGCGGAGCTGGACGTCCGCCAGGCGCAGGCTCGACGTTGGAGCAAAGAAGGGTCGGCCCACCGTCTCTTCTTGTGTCCTCCCTCGCTGCTCGCCTCTTCCCTGACGACCTCCACCTCCTCCTCCTCCACCGTCGCATCGTCTCTGCCCCCCACCCCGATGCACCTTCCAGGGGTCGAGGATATGAGGGTGCGGCGGCAGGGTTCAAAGCTGGTTTTGCAAGCGTCTGACCCCTTCTCGCATGCTCCGCTCCATATCACACACTCGCAGCACGAATTGCTTCAGCCAGAATGAGCGGTACCGAATTTCGTCTCTCGCGCGTTTTGGTGCTAGACAAACTGGTGAGCACTAGTGTCAGGACGACAGGGAACCATATGATTCCACACGCAGTCTCACGCAGGCAATAGGTAGTAGAGCGGTTAAATGACTTGTTCCCTTCATGCTACGTGGACTCCTCCTCCTCGTCCTCCTCCTCATCCCCTCATCCCCCCCCCCTCCTCGTCCTCCTTCTCCTCCTCCTGGTCCCTCCTCGGCCGTTGCCAGTTTGGCCCAAGCCTCTGTTTGGTGACATGCGCTGCGCAAGTCGCTTTGCAGACATGTCAGTATCCATTTACTTGCGCACGCCATGGCCAATAGCGTGGGTCGCATGCTACGCTGTATCTCTGGGCTGCCGCTGCTGGTGGTCCGCTGCACCGTGGTTTGCCTCCAGATCGTGGCGCAGTTCATCATCGCGCACCTTCATGACCAGGAGTTCGCGTCGACTGGGGCGGCTCTAACGGCTACGTGTTGTGGCCCGTTTTCCTCGTCATGGTTTAGGCGCTGCCCCCTGCGTTGCAATCCGAAAGCCAAACCTGCCAAGCACAGCAGGTTCTTCGGGATTGTTTGCCCCGTGGCGGCGCAGGTAGCGCCTTGCGAAGTCCGAGCACCACAGATTCTACGACGCAGTGGAACCAGTTCGCCTTCGCCTTCTGGATCACCTTCGTCCTGTCGTTCGGCCCCTTGCATCCCAAGGTACTTCCTCACATCATTTCCGATCTGATTCAGTTGATCGTTGGCCTAATCCGTGTGCGGTCGAATTCATTCGCAGCGGCCGTCAGGCAGAATCTGATGCAGGCGTCGACGCATGTGCCTCTGAGGTGGTTGCAGCAGACGGCTTGATCGTAGGAGCCTAGACGATCATGATTTTGGCCTCGCAGCGGGTCAAGGCCAACGCCCTCCCGTCACAGAGACCCCGGCTGGGGATCTGAGCAGGTTCCTCCTCCTCCTCCTCCTCCTCCTCCTCCTCTTCCTCCTCAGCTCCACCAGGGATGCGACGCCCAGCTCCATAAGCTCGCTCGATCCCTCACGCCTGCTGCGGAGCGCGCCGTGGCCCGCCATTGTGCTGGCCCTCGTGCGCAGAGGGTGGTTGGGGAGCGTGGTGTGGACAGTCGGGAAGCTCAAGGCCTCGCTCGACGGGGACACCTCCAACGTCCAAGCTGCGCTGCAGGCCACGCTCGCCCGTGAGCTCGACAAGCTGGTCTCCCCAGCGTGTGCGCCTCCGTCGCCGCCGCGCGCGTCCGCGCCGTCGGCGGGCGCCGCTGCTGCCGCCTCGCCCCGTGCCCTGCCAGGTGGCCCGCTGCCGCGGCCGAGCCCGGCCCCAGGAAGCACCTCCGCCGCCGCAGGGGAGAGAGGGAAGGGGCCGTGCAGTGAGGATTGGGCAGGCGTGGAGGCCGGTGCCAACGGTCACAGGGCAAGCGCCGCAACAACCGGCGCACCAAGCAACATTTGAGCAGACGAGGAGGGCGCAGCAAAAAAACATCAATAATACATCAAAGAAGCCAGACGCCGAAACAAACATGGCGGCAAAACCGGCACCAATGTTGCACCAATGTTTTGGTTTCCTGCCTGTAGCAGGCAGGCCCGTCGTAAATTTTGGCCAGGGGCGGTCAGTCACTGTTTGGGGTCCAGGCCGGTTCTGGCGATCACGACGGGGCGGAGGCCTCAGGAGCCAGGCCAGCCCGCGAAACGCGACGTCAGGGGACCAGCAGTTGTGAACGCGTTCGGTCAGGCGGACCCGTTCCCGTCGTTCTTCTTGATGCTGTGCAGCGAGATGGACGTCCTAGTCGCAGTGACGGGTCTGGTCGTGAACATGCACTTGAGGAGAATGACGGGCCCGCTCCTGCTGCTCAGCCTCTTCTAACCATGCTCCAGAAGAGGCGTCTCTGGACCGTCGTGTTGGTGGGCTTGGTCGCGAACCCGCTTTTGAGAAGGATTGCCGTCGCAGAGCTCGTGACCTCAATCTACAGTACCTTCTGCGACATCTCCTTCTC